GGGATTTTTTTCCTCCCCTTCTTCATCTCCAGTGATCGCTTTTTTTTTTTTTTTGATACATTAAAAATGTGTAAGCGGTGACAAGAGTTTCCTATCCCTGTTTGTTTTGCAGCTTCATTTCCGCGAGGTGCTCTTGTCCGACAGGTGGGGTAGGATCTTCTGGGCTGTTTCCCCCTCTAGCCTTTCTCTCTTTATCAACTCTCTACCCCCGCCCGTGGGATTCCCCCCCCCCCATGGCAGCAGATATTAATTGTAATCAAACAGCAAAGAGGTGGGGATGTAGTTGCCATCGCGTAGGACTTTGATGGTGTGTCAGCAGCGAATTGTGCTGTTCAGATGGAGGGATGCGCTATTACAGGTGTCGCTACATCAGGTTGCAAGCGGCTGCTGCCTGCCTCCCGGAGCCCGCACCTCATCCCAGCAGAACAAAAGAAAAGGAACTGGGTTACCGGATAGATAGCCGCTGCCTGGTTCTGTGTCCCAGTGTGTGCTCAGGGATTAATTGCGAGTTCCCAAAGCAAAACGTACTTTGGACCGGGTGATTTTCCAGAGCAAGGGAGGGCGGGGAAAAAGGGAGCAAAGCACTTCCTTCCTCGTGAAAAATAACTGTCCAACAAACTATGCTTTGGTGTGTGCGTTTCAGAGGTCAGGGAAAAGAGATAGGATGTCAAGTCTCAAGTACGTTCATTTTAGCATTAAGAGAACACGGGCGAAGTTTCCAGTGTATCACCTGCTCTATTTTCATTCACAAAGGCTGAAGAACCAAAGAGATGAGTTCGAGCCAGCTTAACTACAAGAGATTCAGGGTAGCCGCTCACCGATGAGATTCTGACAAAGGAAGAGAGATTAAGCTACCGGCATATCTGTTTTGCCCCTTTTAGAAGCTGCTAGGAGCTAAGGCTGCGATTCCAAGGTCCAGTCAAGGCCCAGGAGAGGCTTGAAAAAAACCAAAGCAAGGCGCCTGTCCTCCCGAGGAGGAGTAGGCCAGTCGCTGTGAAGGCGACAGAAAACAAAAAGTGTCAGTTCTATCCTACCCATTATTGGTAGACAGGGCAGTTGAAGCTAAGGCTGCCTTTGCAGAAAGACGTATTTTGAAGAAGAATTAAATCAGATCGGACAATGTTTGCACGGAGGTATAAACGCCTCAGCCTTGGCGAGGCAGTCACCTCAGCGATCCGACACACTCCAGCTCCCTTAAAACGTGCAGAGTTCAAGTCATATTAATTCCCCCCAAATGTTTTGATTCAAAGTAGTTTGTATTTTGTGTAGCCAAGGGCAATCGGGAAAGCGCTCCTGCCTGCAAGTGGCCGGTGGGTTCCCTCTCCGCGTGGCCCAGAGGCTACAGCGGTATTTAAGCATCGGAAATTAGCCTGGGGCTGCAAGGCAAGATGATCACAAAGCGAAACAAGGGCGCTGCCCCTCTACACTTTTTTCATCCCCCCCCTCCTTTTTTTCTTTTTTTTTTTTTTTTAGTTTGCCATCCCGATTTCACAAAAGAGATCAGGGCCAAAGAGTCCCTTTCCACCCACATACAGGAAGTCCGAGTCTTCTCATCTTCAACGCGTGTGTGAAGGCCAGAGCCCCTTTATCCAAGTGAACCCCATATCGTGATTCCATTCTGAGTCCATTCATGATTAGCTTCGTCACCGTCGTGGTCCTCATCAACATTTTATTATTAAATACTCAGAAATGAAAGGCTTGGGTGTCTAACAAAAGGGAGGGGCCATGAGGGTGCCTCAGAAGAGTCACCAGGAAAAAAAGAGTGGGCTTTCTTTTCTTTTTCTTTCTTTCTTTTTTTAATGATTGAAAACATAGGCGACTCCTGTAAATAGAAGCCCCATTCCTTCAAGAGATGCCTTTTGAAACCCACTGTCTGAATATTCAACGAAGGCAAAGCTCCACTCTGTACGAACAACATTAATATGATCTCTGCAGAATTTGTTACTCAGAAATATTAACATATCAAAGCCAACGCCCGGGGCGAAAGAAGCTATCGATACGCGAGAGCAGGGTAAAGTAAAGATTATTGGTTCTGATGGTCGGAGCGGCGGAGCTGCGGGCGAAATCGCGCACACCATTAACCGGGAGTGAGCGCGCAGGGAGCTGGGCCTCCGAGGCGGGCCGCAAATATTTTATCTAGGTGGTAATTACCTCGCTGCTACCTCCCTGGTCTGTCCACGTTATCTTTTGGCTATCAGACTTTCGTTTACAAGGGAAAAAAATGTAACTGACACTTAACAAAGTGAGTCTGAGAAAAGACATTTTGGTCTTTATTACATATTTAGTGAATGATGACCCCTTATCCGTCCACCCTCTGCAAACCAGGCCAGTTTCTCTCTACCCACCTCAGGTACCACAACCAGGCAGGCATCTTTCCTCAAGGCAGGCCTTGGGAGAGAGTGTCTGGCGAACTGAAACGTATTTTTTTTTCTAGTATTGTAAATGCTTGATATTCAGGAACGTAAATATACTCAAGAACTATGGCATTCACAGGGCCGCAGGGGCAGTGCAGATCTGCCTTCGGGCCACAGAGATTTGTAAGAGAAAATGGAGAAGCATAAAGACTTTAAGGGAGATCAGCCTGTGGAGCATAGACATTGTCACCACAGGAGGGATGGGAAGGGAGTAGATGACTTAAGGATTAGATGTTCTATTTTTGATGACCCGAGTTATCCGATATTAGGAGTTCTGCGGTGTGCACAACGCACTATGCCAATGAAGAGAAGGGGTTTCCTAGGTATTTTGACATAAGGGGCCTTGCCAGGGCTGACAAAACAGAAAAGTTCTTACTATCCACTTGGAAATTGTGAATACTGATAGAGCTACAGAGTCATCCATCCAACCAACACACACACACACACACACACACACACACACACACACACACACACACCCTCCTCTCCAGAGCTGAGATTGTTCCTCTCCTGTAAGACATGTGGGAATGGGAAAAAGTGGTCAGATGCTGGGGTCTGAATTACTCAGAGGTGGGGACTTCAGATTTTGTTGTTGCCCAGGTTCCTTCCTGTGGGAATTGCACTTTTCTCCTCCACAATCAATGCTTGGTTTAAAATAGCAGACTAAGAGAAGGATTTTAGAAGGTGAAACAAATAGGTATTGAGTTGTACAAAAACAAGAAAACATCACCCACGGAGCTTCGCTTCTGTAGTTGTGATAAGCTAAGAGCGCACTTCAGTCCTTTAGACACCTCAAATCTTAGCTCCTCTTGGATGGCCAGAAAAAAAGGAGGTGTACTAACTCTCCCAGGAAACTTTATTGATTCCACGGCATCTACAGTCCCAGCGCTCAGCCTGGAATTCATCTTGTCAGTTATGCTACCATCATTTGGATGTGATAGTCAAGCGTTGGGGGAGGTACTTTAACAAGTACGAAGCAGAATGCAGGAACCGCAGCCGCGCAAAGCTCTGCTCGGCCAGCAGCGGGCTTCCTTCCTTAATGAGTGGCGCTGTCCTTCAGCACCACGGGGTCTGTGCGCCCTGAGCGCTCCGCCTCACCTTTAGTGTGTTTCTTTCCCAACAGACCCCAGTCAGCAGGACTTACTGAGCCTCCCTTTCACTGTGTATATTTTACATGTCCAACAGTTATGAACAGATAAATTTAATATTCAGAAACTTGTCTCTGTTTTATGTTATTCCAATATGGCTGAATACAGGCCTGGCTGGAAAGCTTAATATTGTTCCTTTTGAATCACTATGAAGAGTGATATCCATACTCAAAAAAAATTTTTTTTGAAGTCTCAAAAGTGTGCAACAACGGACTAGAGTAATTCTTTAAAATTCTACACAAATTCCAAGCACACAATTTTTATTGGAACAGCCAAGGTCCCAAAGATAAACATTCTTTGTTTCCTCTTCTGATGCTTATAGTGGATGCTGGGTCATGTGATCTGCACTTAAACACAAAATATTCCATTGCTTTAGGAGAGTATACTATTCCTATAAAACAAGCAACTAACTTTGAGAGGAATGGAGAGGGACTAAGGGACAGCTATCTGGTAATATCAGTTTCGTGGTTTGGTTACTAGAGACAACTGTGGCCCTGAAGCAGGAATTAGTCTTGGTGAATAGGCCCCATCTTATTAATTCGTATGAAGTTGGGATAACAGCTGGTCCCTCTTGCCTCATGTGCTCCTCGGGTTACTGGGCATGCTAGGAAAATAAACTTCAGAGGCGCGGGGTACAGTTAAGCAGGGGAGCCAGCCAGCAAAATCTGCACTGCCTTGAGGCCCTGTGCATGTCATAGTTCAAAACCTTTTGTCAAAATGGAACATCTGAGATACAGCCCCCTCCAGTGCCTTGGCTGAATGCAACAGCTCTTTTCTCACCCCCCTTTCCAATGCCAGGGGTAACTCTGGATTCAGATGTTTTCCTCAACAGATGGGAACAAGAAAGCTTTATCCAGTACACTTAACACTACCTCCTCCTGCCACCCTCTCTTAAAGAAAGAAATCTTCTGGACGCTTCAAAAAAAAAATAATAATGCAGCTACAATATTGGTGATTCATTAGCCTCCTGGAAAGCCTCCGTGATGTAGCCTTTCACAGAATCCCTCAAGGCCCATGGCTAACACCATCACCCCAAACACCCAGGCTGTGGCTGGCACATTAGGTCTAAAAGAAACCAGAATTGCTCCAGGATGTGGTATTGGTGAAGGGAAAGAAGTGTGAAAACTTTTGTTTTAAATCCTGGTAATTTTCTCCCTAAGTTCGAGTCTGTCGCCATTCTGTGAGGAGTAATAGGTAGCTCCTAGCATAAGTCTTGAGGCTCACTCAGCCCTGAAGCGTCAGTGAAAGAAAGGAGGCTTTTAAATGTAGATATGTATGCCTGTTATGGATCTGGAATAACTGACTCACATAGCCCTTCTTTGTTTGTTTGTTTCTTAATCAGCAGACAAAGAACCTGATGTTTACAAGCCTTCCCAGGTCTTCAAAACAAAGAAAGAGATTAGAGACGAATGTTTGAGGTCAAGGTGTTCCTACTCACCTCTTCTTATCACTCCCCCTTGGCCGTTGAGAACAATCCCACACTGGGCTTCCACGGAACCCTTCGTAAAAGAAAAGGAAAGAGAAGCATTCAAATATGATGGGCATGACCATGTGGGTGAAATATTTCAGACTAGCCTATCTCCGACCTCCGTCTCAGGCAACCACTGAAGGCATCATGACCAAACAAAATTTTAAGGAAACTATTTTAAGAGAAACTACAATATAAAATTTCTATCCATCTCAAGGTACCCATTTTACATCACTCCCCAATATTACACTTCAGAGGTCTTAAGAGATTTTTTCATTTGGACCCAAAAGAATGAGAAGTCCTTTGAGTCCCGACAAGGAGCATAGGATGCCCACAGGCAGCGCATGTTCGCCACTTTCTGGGTGAAGAAAATTATAGCTTGAGTGTCAAGACTGGAACTGTGAGTTTCTTTGGAGGTTCAGAGGAAATATTTCACATGGAGGAATCAGAATATCTTCTAAGGATTTGGTTTCCCCCAAAGCAGGAGCACCAAATAATTCTATCCAAAATGGGTCCTATGGCGGAGACACCTTCAAGTTCACTCTCTACAGATCTTCAAGTTCCTAAGGTGCTGAGTGATCGTTTGAACTGGAAAACTAGAAAGGATTTGCTGATTTGTTATTAAAAAAAATAAAAATTTCTCTCTGTGTCTGTCTTATCCCCCCTTCTGAATCAAAACGTGTTAAAAGCTCATTTTCCTTCACAAACAAACGAGGTATTGGACATGAAAGAGGCCTTGAAGGGTGTTAACCTACCCAACAGCCCGTGAAGAGTTAAGTAAATGCGGAGAGAGTCGGTGCATAATAAAAACCCACTTTACAAAACAACCTTTACAGCCCGGGCTCCCTTTTGCTTCCCCATTTTCGCCATATTGAGGCAGGCCTGTGAGACCCCCCTTTTCAACCTACTCACCAGCTCTTTCTTATTTTAAATGTTCTGCCTTAAAGTGATTATCAAATCAATATGAAAAAAAAAAAACTTGGAGACTGAGCATAAATTAAAGCGGTGATGGGAAAAGGTGTGACAGTTTCCTTTGTTGGCCATAGCAAATCTTTTTAGGGGACTCAAAGATGGAACTGAAGCCACAAGACCGTTTGCATCTGTTAGGCAGACTTAGACCGCCCTCTAAACCATTGGACTTTCACTTAAAATTCTGTGCAGGGAAAAGTATATTTACATTTGTTGCATTTGAAATGAGGCATATGCTGATGACTGTTTCAAAAAGGAAGAAATAAAAGGAGAGAGACGGGTTTTCCCCACATACTCCTTCATTTCTTGTTTTAAATGTAGCTGTGGTTCTTTCTTTTTTTTTCATTCTACTAAGTACATCCAGAAGAGTAGAATAGCTTTATATATTTATAAACTTGTCCTAGTCTTCATACACATTATAATACATGCACTTACATACAGAAGTCTTCATGACCGTACATGCATGTATGTATCGCACACCATACTCTTTCATCTAGTATCTTCAAGTGTTTCCTTCCTCAGTATGATTAGTATTATTTCAACACAAATAACAAAAAGAAAATGAAGAATAACTGTATAAGAGATAGGCTGAAATAAAGATTTGAAGATATCTGAAGTGTAAAAGGTAAAGGACACCCAAGCTCTCCAAGGAAGCAGAATCATTTCCCCTCTCACTCTCTGGCGCACTGTTAGGATGTTTATTTTCTTAGAAGAAACAGATCTTGGTCTCTTCACTTAACATACTTTCCCCCCCTCATAAGTAAAACATGCTGTTTGGTCAGATGACATTGCATAAATGACCAGTTGAATGGCACTAAGTCGAAAATTGGATAAACTACGGTGTCCTTTTGCACAGGATTCTGTCTTTGTCCGGTGCTTGCAAATGTTCTAATCCTCTCTTTTGAAAAATGCTCAGCTTTGTGCCGAGCACAGAAAAAAAATTTGTACAGATACAAAAAAATCAGCAGCAGACGTGGCTATTAAAAGGAGTAAATAGGTTTTAGTTGAGCTAAGCATTGAATGGCAGATTTTTTCCCCTCCTGAGACATAAGGGGATCCTTGTGAAAAATGTAAAAAAATGCCCTAAGCGTATAAAATTATTTTGTGAATATAAGTGTAGCAAGTCAAGCTTTAAGGAGTGAAATCTTTTTTCTTGTGCATGAATCATGTGGTTATGACTCTTTGTTGGAACTGTAAGGGCTTTCACTTTAATTTAAAATTAATCTCTTGCTCAGGGGTTGAGGAGGGGGAAAGATATTCTGTGCGCAACAAGAGATCTCTTCTGTCTCCAAGTTGTGCTCCTGGAAATATCTTCCCAGTCTTCTGGAGAGTGCGGAGATGGCAAGCTTTGTGCAGACTAAAAAAAGGAAGATGTGCTTTCCACTTAAAGAAAGTTCAAGTTGGACTCTTCCGGGTTCCTACTCTAGACCTTGGTGGATTTTATCGATTTGAAATCTGTCTGAGACAATGGCATCACTTCATTAATTCTTTTGTTGGCAGTGAATGTGGAAAACGTGTTAAGAAAGTAGGAGACTTGATTAAGTGGTGGCTTCTGCAGTGTCTGAATACATTTCCTTTCTCTTTCCCTTTCTTCCTCCCTTCCCCATTCCTTCCTTTTCCCTTCCCGTTTTTTTTCCCCCTCTATTTGTCTTACTTCCTTTATGCCCTCATTTCTGACAGGATAACGAGTTGCATCTTACGTAATATGGAGTGACCTGAGGAGAGAGAATAAAGACGAAAGCATCCTGCTGGGCTGCCAGCTTGGGTATGCTCAGGCAGAGCATACCATACAGCTTATACTCTGGCGAAGTGCATTGTGCAGATTATTTTATTGGGGCTGAGTTCTGAGGCTTTCATTTGTGGTTCCTTACTTGACACAGCAATCTGATACGTTTGTGAAACTTTTGCTCAAGCTCGTTCCAACAATTTCCTGAGAACAACCTCTCTCTCTCCACTCATGCCGAGATTCCCCTACAGGCTCTGTTTAGGCCAACGCTAGAAATATGAGAGTAGAGCCTGTACGTTATGGAAACTGAGGATAGAATGAACTGGTCGTCAGCTTTTAGCGCGTCTTGCTCTGAGACCGCTAGATTCAAACCCAGCTCCACCGACCTCACACACGTTTTCTTTCAGGGTCAGAAATGTAGATTCAAGAAAGACTTCTGATGACTGGCCCCAGGTAGGGGCTGTAGCTATTGATCCAATGAGAGGAACGGAGTGGGCACCGGCTTCCTGTAATTTGATGACTTCCCCTAAGTCGTGTGTGTGTGTGTGTGTGTGTGTGTGTGTGTGTGTGTGTGAGAGAGAGAGAGAGAGAGAGAGAGAGAGAGAGAGAGAGAGAGAGAGAGAGAGAGAGAGAGAGAGAGAGAGAGCGCCTTACAGCCAGAGCATTAACGGAGAGCGGGAGGGGGAGGGCGAGGGGAGGGCGCAGACAAATCCGCTGCATGCTTATTTACCTGCAAGTCGTCGGCTCCCGCGGCGGCCAGCCCCAGGCTGGGCCCTGGCAGGAGTCTTTGATCTGGGTGCATTCCATACTGAGAGCCATGGCTCATGAGGGACAGGTCGTGGCGGCGGTAGGCATCGAGGCAGCCCAGCTCCCGCCTCTGCTCGTCCAGGCAGGAGGACTTGAGCGCCCGCGCATTGTGCAGGTTAATAAAGTCGGTGGGCTCCCCGTGGTGAATCTGCTGGTAGTACTGTTGTGAGTGGTGGAGCGAGTTCAGAGAGTAGGCGTCGGGAGTGACCGCCGGGTGGCTGTGCTGGAACTCGTAATGGAACGACTGGTGGTGAAGCGGGGTGTACTGGTGGTTAGTGGAGAAGTAGGGGGACGCAAACTCGGTGCCGGTGGTGGAGTAAGTTAGAGGAGAGGAGGAGGAATAGGCAACCGTGGAATTGGCTACGGACTCCAGACAGCCAAGCTGCATCAAACGGTAGCTGTTTGATCCGTCGTGACGTATCTGGAAGGAAGAGGGGGAAAGGGGAGAGCAGAAAAACTTGAGGTTTGTCATTTTGCAACCAAGGATCCACTCTCCCAGAGTCGGGAGCTTTCCCTGCTTCTCTCCTAGGAGAAAGAGAGCAAGCACGCTGGGCTCGGGAGAGCAGCCGGGGCTCAGTGAGCGCCTTCGCCAAGCAGACTTCCAGAACAGTTGAACTGGGGGTGGGCGGCCTCGTCTTCACAGTGCAGAGAGTGGGGTGGGGGGAATCCCCCACCCTATATAGGTGGGGGCGATATCACACACGCATACACAGTCACACACAGACAAACAGTCAGGCAGGCAGACAGACAGACAGACACACACAGTCACACACACACACAAACACACACACACACGCGCGCGCGCGCGCGCACTCACACGCCCTTCCCTTCCCAACTTGTGCTTGGAGCTAGGCGTCCGAGTCAGGTTTGCAGGTGACCGGGGGCTGCGGGGAGCGGGAGCGTCCACAGGCAGAGAAGCGACGATGCACTTCGCCGCTCCAGCAAACCCTCGCACCGCAACGCCGCCTGGCCAAGCCGAGATGTTCAGCCGGGGCGACTCAAAAATATTGTCGTCCACATATATAATTGTATATATATTAAAAATCCCAGTCTGTGCAAATTGTTCAACTTGCTCACTTCTGTAGTCGCCTGTATCCCATTCCTCCAATAAGCCCCTTGAAAAAGGGGTACGTTCTTCCCCATCCCCCATGTCCACCTACCACCCCCCATCAGTCCCTTTTCTTTGCTTTTCGGAGGATCTTTTCTGTGCCTCTAGCTTTCTCCTCATCCCCCCCTTATTGTTAGGATTATGCTTCTCCCTCATTACCGCAAATGGTGCTTAACGTGGAGAGTTGCCCTCCCTGGCGACAGATGTCATAACGAACTTTTCTCCCCTTCCCTTCCTTAACTTCTCCCGAAAGCCAGATTATAATTAAACGTAACGGTCCAATATAGATTAGAGGCAGGGGAAGCTGCCACCACCGCCGCCACCACCGCCGCCACACACTCACACACACTCACACACACACGCGCGCGCGCTCACAAAAAAAAGTAATAATACCTCCGCATCGTGGACTAGTCCGGGAAAGGTAGTTGACATGTTGGGTTTCTCCAAAAGCTTACGGTGCAATTTCCCCCTCCAAAAAAAGAATCAGGAAAAAAATCCAAAACTTCTTGTATTTTCCAATTTTTTTTAAAGGAAAAAAAAATGCTCCGTAGATACAGATCTAAATTGTAATGGTTTTGCCCGGATCGGATGGCTCCTTGCCTCGTACCCACTTAAAAACCTGTAGGAACAAAATTTTCCCTCTGCACAAAAGCAGCTCCCTGGAACAGATTTTGTACTTGCTGAGAATTTCTTTGGCTGATGTCGTAGGTCCCTTGGTAATATAGAAGTTTTGAAAATTAAGCATCAGCACTGAGAACGGGGAGGACAATAGGCAGAGGAGATTATCCCATGAGACAAGGAATAAATATTGTATCTTCGCCTAATAAGGAACTGGAGCTTCTTTCAACATTTTTATCCATTTTCCCCAACCTTTATCGTGCTTTTCTATACAGACTGAGGTGGGGACTCATCTCTGCTGAGAGCATTTACACATTTTTATTGTGAAGATGGAAATCTACCCCCAATATGTGCATGTTACAGACAGAAATATATATTAATTAAACCTTTCTTTTACATGACTGAGCACTTGTTCCTATTGGTTCTACTCCCTGGATGCTGAAAGCTGATTTTTTCCTACAGACATTAGACTCAGTCTTGCCCAGTTGGGGTGTCTGCCTTCTTCTAAGTAAAACCAATACTGTTTTTCTCATGTTTACATTGAATTTGGGTTCTTTCTCCCTTTTGAAAGGCAACACCAGGTGGTGGGTAACATTTTTTTCAGCAGTTTTTAAGATAAATAACCATGATGGACAGTCCTAAGTTTCTGTCTCAACGAAGTGGGACAGCTGGAAAAATCCAAGAGAATAAAGACGTGTGAGGAGATTGCACACTTAAGTGAACGTCTTTCACTCCCAATCCATCCTATTTTCCTTCTTTTTTGTGTTTTCCTCCTTCCTCTTGTAAACAGTGCTTTTTGTTTTTTGTTTTTTTCTTTCTGTTTTTTGAAGATGTGGAGTGTGAACCATTTAATAGTGGAAACAGGTACTTGAACACCGTTACCTCCAAATAACCGCCCCCCCATACTTAGAAGTTACATTTTACAAAGAGAGGGCTGGAAGGAGACAATACACACATCTTTTCTTTTCTTGGTGGATTTCTCAACTTTCAAACAGTTTTGGAGTTTTACTTCATTCAAAATTTAGACTGTTCCACTGAGTTATCTAGTATTTTGAAGTGTGTGTGTGTGTGTGTGTGTGTGTGTGTGTGTGTGTGTGTGTGTGATGGCTACAAACTCAAAATATGGAGGCTTTGCAAGATTTTATCAGCAAACTTGCCTATGCAAGAAAAAAAAAAAAACCTGGCTGGCTGGCTGGCTGGCCCCACTGGTTCATCTCAGAGATAGACAGGGTAATTCAGTCTTAATTGCTATTTCATTTGGTTAGCTTTTAAGTGTTTAAACTGAGAAGGTGTCTTAATAACAAGCCCCAGGCAAGCAGACATGTGGCTTTTTTTTTTTTTTTTTTTTTTTTTTTGGTTGGATGTTTGGGAGGGTTTATTAGGATATGCTCATGCAGGGTAACTGGGACTGTCACTCAGAGCTTTTGGTTCTATACAAATGGACAAAGGCACATGACAAGAATTGAAATGCATTGTCAGAAATAGAGATCGGAGATGCCTTACTTCCTCACAGGATCAGCAGCCAATATTTGCTCTCCATGTCAAGGTGGACTTACCTCCCCCCACCCAATTCCACATTGCTGTCTAACGAAGTCAGAAGGCTTTTCAAGTGAGGTCAATGAAGATGAAAAGGAAGAATATAGGGCATGATCTTTAAGTAGGAGGGGAGAGAAGAGCACTGTTGGTCCTTAGAGACTGCACCCCCAAATGCTTGCACTAGAGTCTTTGTTCGCTATGTCCTAGCCCAGCACTCACAGCTCACCCAAAGTGGATCTAAATAATATGATCATACGTGGTAGTCCATGGGACCTGAGGACTGATTCTATAATCTTGTCTCAGAAATCTTGTCCCTGAGAAAGTTCAACCCCATCCCCACCAGAAGAATATAGGGGACCTGCTAGCTCTCTTGTGAATGGTGAGACACGTTTTCTGGTACCCAATATTAGCTTCATAAGTAGTCTGCACTCAAATAGGAAAGGATAGATCCTCTCAGACAAGCAAAATTCATCTTTCCCCGACCCTCCTCAGTATCAGGAATGTCTTCAGTTAAGGTGAAGGGACTTTCCCTTTTAGCTTAGGTCCAAGGAGAGAGGATGCACAACTTTCTCTTCCAGGACAACCAGGAGACTCAGGACAGTATGGCTGCCTACTCAGCCTGCTGTGGAGCCCCTGGGGCCCACATATTCATTCCTGCTTCCAGACACAGCCATAAACAGCACCTCCCTTAAAAAGGAGTCTTAGGATGCTCTTGGTAAAGAAGCTTAGACTCTACCGTAGGGTGCCTTCCGGCTACCCCTTCTGTCTGAGTGCTTGACTGAGGTGTTGGCAGTCATATCTCTCCATTGCTTTCTCAATTCCTACCCCATTTCTAAGCACCCAGACAAAGGGTATGAAGGGTTTCTTTGGGAACACTCTTGGGCTTGGAGGAAACTGAAAATCACAGAGTGAGAGAAGTACTTAAATAGACTTAAGGTGATGGAGCAGGAAGGATAAAGTCTACAACTTTTTGCTACAGAATCTATCTTGTCAGGCTCCATCGGAACATCTTCATCCTTCCCCCACATCCCATTCCTTACATCAACATCTTAGACAAAGGGAAACTTCTGTTGGTCAACTGCTCCCTCCCACCTATATCAACTTTTAAATACACAAAAAAAGCTGTTTCACTCTCCAAGGATAGTTGGGGAAATCATCTGTGCCATATGCACAAATTGGTCAGTATTCCCTCCCATCTGCTCTGGGGTTGCTCAGTGTGCCCCTTTTATAAATAAATTCATCGAGGCAGGTGTGTTTGATGCCTTGTGTGTGTGAGGTGCAGCCTCTGGATTTGTTTCTGTTAGACATCTCCCCCTCCTGTCCCCCTGTCATCCAATTAATAGTCTTGAGCAATTAATAAGTGACATCTTGCTTGACCCAAAGACTGGGCTTTTCAGCAAAGTTAATTCCTCTTTTTCGGTTTTCCTCCTTTCTTGGAGAGTGATTGGCTACACATTCTCTAGGGGGTGTTGTAATTGAATTAACTGGCCACAGCATGCTGGATTCATGGTGACAGGCTGCCTGGGGCCCCTTCTAAGGGAAAACTGGTGGTGTGCATCCCAATCTCAGCCAGAGGCCAGGACAGTGCCCACATGAGCACGAGGCAGCCTTGCTACCTGGCACCTCTGTGGCAGAAGAGTTCTCTTTAATAGTCATGCCTTTCTTCCTCCTTCTATTTCTAAATCACAGAAGGGACTGTCCTACAAAAATCCTTCTAGTAATTCACTAAGAAAGCCCTTTGCATATCACCATTGCCTTGATTAGGATTCAGAGCTGGAAGAATGGTTCAGAAAGTTGAAGTTCCTCTTCCTGAGTTTCTAGGTGTCTACCATGCAGTTTGCTTTAGTTTGGATCCATTCTCAAGCATTTTCACTGAAAGGATGTGTATGTACTGTAAGTCTGAGATTGGCAAACAGCTAGCAGACAGCCGTCTCAGCCCTTATCCCTAACTTTAATAAGTATTTCTTCAGTTTTCTTCCTCTTCCTCCTCTTCCTCCTTCTTTTTCTCCTTTATTTTGCCTTCTACTTGGGGCTTCTGCTTACCAATTTGCTTGTGTTGTATTAAATAAAGTAATGATTGCAATTATTTAATATGATTTATCCTGTGTGTGTGTGTTTGTTTCTTGAAATCAAAGTCAAGCTTTATACTCGGTATATTGTCTAGCATTGAGCTACCGCATTTGCTTCTAGTTGGGCAATTTCTAACCCCCCCCCATACATTTACCAACAGGAATTAACAAATGTGTCTGTCTTCCATTCTCCATGTGCCTGCTCTCTCTCCCTATTTCTTCTTCCCTTTCTCTCTTCCTTCATTTTTTTTTTTTTTTGAGGAGAGTAGAGAGAAGATTGATCCATTAATGTTATGCCTTAAGCAAGTATCTGTGCACATTTTCTAAGAATGGAATTTAGTGTGCTCTGCTGCACTGGTGCGTGCAGCTCCACAACCCAAGCATGAACTTGCAAATAAGAGACATTTTCCATTGTCATAAAGCCCCCGGCTCCTAAATTATTCTTGCTCAGGACAACAGTAGAACACTGACTACCCCAAAGAGTCAATGCTGCTTTTCACAGAGTGAAGATGTCCATTACACAACTACTACCAAGAAATATTTGTCTTAAATCTGTAGGTTCTTCCATTACCCTTCACCTCTGTGAAGCCTTATTTAAGAGGAATATACAAATGATAATTTTAGAGAACAGAGCAGCTGAAAGACCTCAATGTCCTACCTTGGGCTTGCTCTTACTGTGCCTGCCCATACGGACCCCTCTACCTCTTCTAGGATTCCCAGCCCTTTGAGGAACTCTTCCTGAATAGGTTTCTAA